CATCCACCCATCCACCCATCCACCCATACATCCATACATCCATACGTGCAAAATTCCACTTTAATTTAAGCATCTATTCTTTCGACACGCGTCGTATTTCTCAAGCAGGACATTTTGCGTGACATCATGTTTTTTTCCATAGGTCCGTTACTAGCAGTGGTAGAGTACGCGCAACATGGGAGTTTGTTGCGTTACTTAAGGCATCACCGTCGTCAAAATTACGACAACCTGAATGATTACACCATAGATATTTCAGCCGCTAACCGACTCAGATTTGCCTGTGAGATTAGCAAAGGAATGGCACACCTTGCTTTAATGAAGGTGAGATTACTTGACGGTTTACCTCACATTAATTGACCTGATTTCTTCAACCATTAGTCAGATCCCTGCCTGGTTGTGCTATTTGACATGAGTAAAAAAAGGTCTAATGGTTTTAGTCATAAAGAAATTATAGTCGTACATCGCTGGAAATTGAAAATTGTACCAAAACGTAACTTTACAGTTTAGAATTATTTTCATCTAATAGTAGGATTTTGATCTCCCATTAGAATTAAAGAGAAAAAACCTCGGCCACCATGTTGTTTGACATAGCAAAAGAAAGAAAAACCAAAAGTTGGACAAAGCGAACAAAGATGGCGGCTATGACGTCGCATGCACCCTAAGAATTGTGGGGTAGCCAATCAGGAGGCATTATTTATAATAGACCACAAGTTAATGTATGCTGCATTTCGATATACTTACAATAATTCTTGTTTTACGTTGACAGTGTGTTCATCGTGACTTAGCAGCTCGCAATGTTCTTCTGGGAGAAAGCCTGGTTGCTAAGGTATCGGACTTTGGACTATCCAGAGATGTTTATGCAGACAATGTCTATGAAAAGAAAACTGGGGTAAGTAAAATAGGTAACCATAGATATAGATCCTTTGGCAGCATTTTGGACTGCAGCTCAATCTGGAGGACAAAACAATAGGTTCTACTCCTCAGGATTCTTTTGTTTTGTCACCCAGATCGAGCTGCTTTGACGTCACATGCAAGGGGTCTATTCATTGCCAACCGAGTAAATCTCCTTAGCTTGGGGAAAAGGGTTCCCCATTTCAGTCCTTGTAATGCATGCCTTAGAGTTTCATGAAGACACATGAATATGGAAACGACTCAAACAAAAGATCTTGTTCTGAAGAGAATGACACGTGGTGTAAGGGGATCTTACCTTTGGCGTAATGTTTTCTCATTTCAGACCACATATCCTTGAGTATAATTTCTTTGTTTATCGGCTGCGGATGAAAGAAAGTATCCTATTCTCAAAAGAATGACACATTTTCTGCGATGGAAAAAAAAACCCATAACGCTAAGACCAAAAACGACCATCACAAACCCTATTCCAACATCTTTTATGATAAGTTATTTTTTTACAGGGTATATTACCTGCTAAGTGGATGGCTATTGAGTCCCTTGAGCTTGGCTTGTACTCCAGTGCAAGTGATGTGTAAGTGATAACTAGGTTATTATCACAGCTTGAGTCAGTTTTTATATTCAACGATTTTGTCTTTTCTTTATTTGCAGATGGTCTTTTGGTGTGTTATTATGGGAAATCGAGACAGGAGGTAATTTGTCTTTACTCCTGCGTCGTAGAAGATTTCGACGAATCGTGTTTCCATTCTTGTCACCTCGTGTATCTGTGTGTTCTCACCGGCGCCATAGAAGAAACTGCAAAAAAGTTTAAGGGATAATTAGACGCAGTTAGTTCTCGAACCGTGTGTACGCGCCTCTACTTTTCATGCCCGATACCCCAAGATTACCTGAAGTCCTTGGCAGGGAGACACATTGGCACCACTTGACAAAACCTAATATATGCAGTGGAGTACATGCACACCTGAACATTTTCCACTTGATCATTTTCCACCAAGAAGCTATGAAGGACAGGTTTACAACCCCCCCCCCCCCCCTCCCCCATTTATGGTTAAGTTGTAACAAAGTAACATTTTTTGGTATCCTTTAGGGGCCACGCCATTTGCTTCATACACAGTAGCAGAAATCATTGAACATCTAAAGGCGGGAAGACGACTTGGACGTCCAACTAATTGCAATAGAAATCTGTAAGTGTTAATGAAATTGTAACTGAAACTGATATGCTATTTGAGTATTTCCACTTTCCCAGCTCTTTTTGTAGTTGGCCACGTTACAAACTAAGATTTCAATACGTGCACAACCCTTGGAGAAAACCTCTATCAGTTTGTGATACCTCTTTTTTAGCAGCTTGATTCAACTACCCGACACTGGATATGACAATAAGCACTCACCAAGAACATCTTGATCAAACTCCAATTTTGATCTTTTCTTCCAATAAATCTTCTCCTTTTTAGATATTCTGTTATGATGCGTTGTTGGAATGCGAATCCAGAAAAAAGACCTAGGTTTGATGCATTAACACAAGAATTAAAGGACTTGTACATGGAGGAAACGGTACGTCAGAATCAGGAAACCTAAAATTCATTGTACCTTAAGGGGGATTTTGTATTCTTTTGTGCAGAATCCGTGCCCTCAGACAAAATTTAAGCATTAGAGTAACTTTTTTCAGAACGCAAAACAGTTTCTAGTTATAAGTGTGTAATAGTCAAATAGACCCCTTGCAGCACTTTGGAAAACAGCTCAACCTGGGGGACAAAACGTTCCAATAGCGCTATCCACCCTTTGTACAACTTGGTTTAGGCGTCCACGTGTTTGTACCAGGAGATACGGGTTTGACTTCCGTGTTATGTTTTTCTCATAGCCATTTTCGTGGCGCTATGTGAAAAGGTTTCTTTTTTTATCTACAGATGTATGTCAATGTTAAAGGAATTGATGATGACGATAATATGAATAGATCTAACCGTAAACCCGAGAACTGTTGACGATCAACCAAGCAATAAAAAGTAGAGAATTTTTCAAAAATGTCAAAGATGCTGCCGACCATGCATATAAACGACCACGACAAATGAATTCAGAAATGCTACAAATACTAAAAGAGTAGCCTCAGTGTTATCAAACCCTGAAACAACCTCTGTACTGGGCTGATCAAAGTCGGGGCGGGCGGCACAGTTAACTCACAGATAGAACCTGAAACAACCTCTGGGCTGATCTAAGTCAGGGCAGCCTTATCGCACAGATCAATTTACTAGTTATCATGTTAGGGGGATAGAATGAAAAATAGCAATGGAAACATTTTAGACTAATATAAACTTTAATAAGTAACTTCTTATTTAAACATTTCATAATAAAATTGAACGACAAAAACATGTTAAAAATGTGACGACGTTTCGACGATGCACAACGTCATTRTCAATTCTCATACTCATTAATAATTCATGAGTAAACCAGCCAATCAATGGGCTATTTTTGGGTCACATGATGTTACTTGAAACCTGGTAAAGTGCTGTGAAAGGAATGCATTCAGTCTGGAGTAACTGTCCAGTCCTCATTGTCGGCTTTGAAATATTACGTCAAAAATGAACTAGAAAAGTAGAATATACATAGAAATAATAACAATAGATATATAATAACATAATCAGACAAAACGTTTGGCACGTATGGAATCTGATTGTACATTCAAACTAGGCAAGTTGAGTTGTTTGATCAGCAACATCTCATTAATAAGAGTCAAATCTGTCTTTGTCTAAACTTTCGTAAAGAAAGGCACACAACAGTCTTCATAGCCTTTGATGTATTAAATTAAATTTAACTGTATGTCATGTAAATACAATATTTTAATTTGCAAAAGAAAGAGAAAAAATAAATTGATAGCAGACTCAAACGAGAAGGCGACAAGCTTGGGAATGAAGTCAAGCTCAGTGGTATATAATATGAATAAAATAGACAGTGAATCATAGACAGCGGATTTTAATTCAGTATTGTGAACCCTTGCAAATAGTTGTTTTGTTACATGGCAAGGTAATTTCACGCGCTTTCACTGGCCAATTTGCGGTCCATAATTTATGGTACGGACCACCAGCCCAATTTTGTGTTCGCCTTGCCATATGATAAACATCTTATCAACCTCACCTTTTTGCTACGAAAGTTCTGGAACCTCGTTTCCCCAGCTTTTTCATGGCCAGGGCGCTACGCGCTTGGGCCATAAGGCTATCTATAGGAAAAGCCGTCGCGTTCAATGAAAGCTTGGAACCTTGAAAGGTTTTAATCAGTGATTGATAATAAGTCATAAAGTTGAATTTCGTGCCATCAAAATGAAATTAAATATCAAGGAAAAATTTATTGAATTTCAATAAATATAGACTTCTCGGATTGACCTTTGGACCGCGTACCATCGCTGGTATCTTTTACAGCGATTTGTGTTGTTTCCAGTATTTTACTTCTATAGAACGTTTCTTCGCTGTGATCTAGAAATCCCTCGAGTCTTCGAGTCAGTCGATAGTGAGTGACCATGACCTTTTCAAATACCATACTGAATGCTAGTATTCAATTCCTTCGTACATGGATTGAGTAACGAACTTCCTGTGTTCCTGTAGTCTTGATTTACTCGAAGTTGGCAGTTTTGACCTACGAGCGAGGTCGGAAATTAATTTTTCCGAATTTAATTCCAAGGGCTTTCGCCCGGAATTACCTCGTTCCCAAGCACTACAACTTACCTATATTATCTTCTACTATTTCATTAGTGCCACGCGGTCCACATACTCTCAGTTTTGACCTACCATTTGTTTCCCTTTCAACTTTGTCAAATAGTGTTTCAAAATAATATTTAATACTTACAATCATAAGTATCAAACTTCATTTTGTAAAGTGTTTGACTAAGTTGAAGAAAAATCATAAAACCGGCCGAAGGCCATCATAAACGCCACAGGAAGCCCGTTACTCAATCGACTACTTGAAAGTGGGAAGCCTGTGGTACCCTCCTGAGAAACTGGTGCTCATGGTTCGTAGTTGAATTTCCAAGAAAGCCTATTAATCCTAAAAACATGGAATCGTTTGTGGACGATCTTAAGAAGGAAGTTCAATGTTCTTTGTGTAATGATACATTTACAGAACCCAAGATCTTGCCTTGTTTCCATACATTTTGTAAACCTTGTGTGAAAAGACACGCCGACCTGATAGACGAAGTCAACGTCTTCAAGTGTCCTCGATGCAAATTAACAACTTCTTTACCAGAACCAAGCAGCGTCGAAGATCTACAGCCTAGTCTACTTCATACAAGAATCTTGAAGGGTCTGGCGTTGGTAGAAGGAGAAAAGATTTGTTCTGTTTCTGAGAGCCATTCTACAGCATCTTGGTATTGTTTTGATTGTGATCGCTCGATGTGCGAGGAATGCAAGAAATACCATTCAGAGTTTACCAAAGATCACAAGGTCGTTCGTCTGGCTGATTTGGAGCAAGAAGATATTGGGTTCATAATAACAAGAGAAAATCCTTGTAAAAGTCACCCTCATCACAGGCTAGAGTTGTTCTGTGAAGACTGTGATGACATGATTTGCAGGACATGCTTGATACACGATCACAAAGATCATAAGACAATGTTATTAGATGAATTAGCTTCAAGAAAGAAGACCGTGTTGTCAAAATATCTGAAGGCGATAGAGAATTTAATGTTGAATGACAAAGAAAAGCAAGAACAGGAAGAGATTGCTTACAATATAAAACAACAAGGAGATAAAGCTTTGAAACAAATTCAAGAGAAAACAAAGGAAATGATCGATACTCTTCGAGAAAAAGAAAGAGAGTTGATAAAGCAAGTCGTCGAGAGCTCGGAAAAAGCCGAAAGAAACTTGAACATAATCCATCACATGCCAGCCGTTAAGGAATACATCAATAGGATAATGGAAAGAGGGCTGGCAAGTGAAATGATTAATTATATTCAAGAGACACAATGCTCAGAGGATTATATCTTAAATCCTATTTCACGATACTCGAGAATTGTCTTTGTTCCAAACGAAAAGTTAATGGAAGAAGTATATRCAGGGTTGGGAGAAATACAGTCTTATTCTGAAACAGACCACACGATGAGCTTTATTCAAGTGGAGTATAAGCCGGCAGTAGCTTTAAGACGAGGAAAGCTAAAATTGATAAGTAGATCATGTATAGGAGAAATCATTTCTGATCCATTGGATGTTATAGACGTTCAAATCAAGCCTGAAGAAAATGTGAAARTAGAAAAGAAATATGTGAGAACTGATGGTAAAGTAGAAGTTGAATTCATGGCTAGAGTAGCTGGTCAGTTGACAGCAGAGGTTCAAGTGAATGAGAATCATGTATCTAACAGTCCACTAGTGGTGAATGTCAAACCACAAGAGATCAACGTAAGAATGAAGTTAAACTTGGAAGGCCCAACTGATACACAACCTAAACTATTGAATGGGATAGCAGTGAATAGAAAAAACAGTAGAGTGGCTGTTGCATATGAGTCTGCCCACTGTGTGCATGTATTCACCACTGATGGAGATCTTTTACTGACGTATGGTAGTCGAGGTAGTGCACAGGGACAGTTGTCTAATCCTGAAGGTTTAGCATTTCTGAATGATACAGATTTAGTCATATCAGACAATGGTAATCATAGAATATGTATAGTGAACACTACAACAGGGACATTGGTAAAAACCTTTGGTAACCATGGTAACGGGGATGGAGAGTTTCGTTATCCATATGGAGTCCACGTTGATAACGATGGTAACATCATTGTGTGTGATCGTAATAATCATCGCGTTCAAGTTTTCACAAGAGACGGTGACTATCAATATCAGTTTGGTTTGACAGATGATGACATTTTTACTCCAATCAGTACAGTTTCCCATGGTGAACGGTTTTACGTCAGTGATACGGTTCGTCATGTTATTCATGTATTTGAGAAGAAAGGTAACATAATGACTGGAATATCGACGATCGGTGGCGAAGGCAGTGCAGATAGCCAGCTAAAAAGACCATGGGGGCTGGCTATTGATAAAGACCATCTTCTGCTTGTCTGTGATCATGAAAACAATCGCATTCAAAAATTCACATTGGATGGTCGTTTAGTTGGCAAGACCTGTAATGAAGTCGATCATCCTGCCTATATAAYGGTTATGAATGATGGCCAATTATTACTCACTTCATACATTAATGGAGTATACATGTCTTTCGTGGATCGTGGAGTAAATAGATAATCTCTCTCAACCACGGACTCGTCATCTTGTTTTCACGATTCTCACTGTTTAGTTTAAAAATTTCTGATTGGTTGGGGGAAAATGCCTGTAAAATTATATAGCCGGTCTACATAGCATGATATTTCAGGATCTCTTTAATCAACTACTGGTAACTTTTAAGTTTTAATGTTAAAACATTAACTTTCTTAAAAAGCATATTTACACCCACATAGTAACATATACACACAGCATCTGTAAAATACTTGCTGGTCCAAAGAACTTAACTACTGGTAATTTTTAAGTCTTAATGTTAAGAGGAAATTTTTTTTCAATAACGAGCAATAATGGCAAAAAGCGCAAAAAACTAGACTTTCGTAT